TTTTCTAGTAACTTTCCAACAATAGTGGTCGATATGCGATTGAAAAAGTTGCATGGTTGTGCCTCTCATCGTTTTCATGATTTTTGTTTTTGCATCCAACCATGATCTCTCTATGCTCTGAGTGTGAGCTTTCGTCAAAGGATCAACGTAGTTTTGCTGGTGGTTAACAGTGTTATGAATATATCCATTATCTTTCAAACATTTATAGGCTGCCCGCTCATCTGAATGAATAATAGAGCCAGCTTCACACTCTCGTAGAATAATTGGTAGTAATATGTTTTTATTTCTTCAAAGAACATTCATACATGTTTGTAGACCGCGTCCCGTTGGTAGACCRTATATCCGAGCAGCACMGTTAAGTATGCTGAAAATGATAGTGAAGTCAAAAATTGGGGCTTTGGCATAGTTTTAAGTTATGACCCTTCAAAGTTAGAATATAATATTATGTTATTAAATAATTAAAACAGTGGAGCTAGCAGTCGAGGCACAATGGTAGTACGATTGTAATGCCATGGAAAGTGACCCGAGTTCTCTAACAAAATTGTATTTAATTCCGAAGCCTATCCGAGTTGATTTTACACATTAAGTCAGGAACATTTTTGATTTTAGTGTCTGAATGAGTGTTTTACAAAAAAAAAAAGTTCAAAATAATACTACAATACAAATAAGAAGGATATTAAACGCTGTATTCTGAGATACTAAAAATGTGATGTTATCACTGCGCAACAGTTCAATATGAAAATTCTTTAGCATTATGGGTATTCAAAAGTTATTATATAAATTTAAAAGTTTAATTACCTATAACTTCAAAAATAACTTGGTGCGCAAAATTCTGATTTCAACAAAAAATTTTTCGTCCAAAAAATGATTAAGCCCCTCTAAAAAAATACAAAATAATTCCGTAAAAAAAAGAAAAGTTCCGCAGTTTGATATCGCCTGTWTGGATATTATAATATAGTTTATTTCTACTTTATCATAATTTATTTATATTAACAAGACTAATAAGAAAATACTATTTTGTTTAGTAATATATTTTAATTGTATTATGCTTTATTGTAGAAATATGACGCTGTTCTACAAAAATCTTGGGATGCCGTGCAAATGCATCATATTATCATCTATGAAAAATGATGGCATACTAATTCGCAAGTTATCACAATATGTTTCTAGATACCAAACTCATGAGATTTCTATTGCAAAAAACCAATTGTGGCCAATTCGATGTTTTTCTACTGTTAATGATGATAGTAATGATGATATAAAAGCTAAACCAGAAGAAAAAGACCCATTGTTGAAAAGTGTTCCAGTTAAAAAGGTATTAGATAAAGTCAGCTTTGAAAAAAATATTGATAAAGTTCAAAGGCCTGAAAAATCTGTTGATCGGAATTATATTACTGCTCGGCGTGCAATGACTGAGTTTATGTTRAAATCGACTGATCTAGAAGGCCTTAAAACTATCAAACGGCGATCTCCATTTGATGACGAGCCTCCAATAAATGTATATTGGCGAAAAGATGTTGTAGCCAAAGCATCTGAAGTTTGGGGGTCTCAAGAAGGTTTAGTAACTCAACTAATTAAAAGGGAAATTGAGAGGAAAAAAAAACAACAAACAATGTTTACAATTAAAGCACATAGAAGAAATAACCGTAGACAGACCTTAAATAAAAATGATCTCAAAACACAAAAGTCATCAGGACTATTTGGTGACTCTGGCCGTGTTGTCTTGACAGCTGTTTTCATAAATGGTATGAATACAATTTTCAAAGGTTTGGCTTGGTTTTACACTGGAAGTCACAGCATGTTCTCAGAATGCATACATTCAATGGCTGATACGATTAATCAAGTAATTCTTGCATTTGGTATTTATAAATCTGTCCAAATAGCAGATTCATATCACCCATATGGGTATTCAAACATGAAATATGTTGCTTCTTTAATATCTGGAGTAGGAATCTTTTGTATTGGCTCTGGACTTTCTATTTACCATGGCGTGACAGGACTTATTCATGCTGAACCATTAGATTCTCTATTTTGGGCATATTTTGTACTTGGTGGCTCATTTATATCTGAAGGAGCGACATTAGCAGTTGCTATAAATAACATTAAAAAATGTTCCAAAGAATCAAAGATTTCTTTCTTACAATATGTGTTACGAGGTCATGACCCTACTGTAAATGTTGTACTATTAGAAGATTGTGCTGCTGTATTGTCTATTGGAGTTGCTGCTATATGTATGTCATTAACTTCATATTTAAATACTCCTATACCAGATGCTGTTGGATCATTACTAGTTGGCGGAATTTTGGGCACAGTTGCTTCCTTCATTATTTATACAAACACATCAGCTATAGTTGGCCGTTCCATAAGTCTAACATATTTAAACAAAATTAATGCTGAATTAGAATCTGATGTTATGATAAGGGCTATACACGATGTTAAAGGCATTGATATGGGAAACAGTTTGATTAGATATAAGGCTGAATTAGATTTTGATGGAAGAGAATTGGCTAAACAATATCTAGACAGACTTGATCCTGAAGCATTAATGGCTGAGGTGAGTACAATTGAAAATGCAGATTGCGCTGAGGCATTTTTATTGAAACACAGTGAAAATATAATTGACATGATTGGTGGAGAAATTGATAGAATTGAATGGCAACTAAGGTCCAAATTTCCTGAAATTAGGCACTGTGACTTAGAAATACTT